TGTAATGTTGATTGCTTTGTGCACCCACTTCCCGATTATGATTGGAGAACATGGATGCTTGTCTGAGATCGATTTGTTGAAATAAAAGAGAAGAATGTTGGTCGTTTTTTATGTCTGATGAAGGGAACTCACGCGAACTCGTGCAGGCACTACGCCTCGCTGATAACACAGCTCGTAGTACATACACGCGCTCGCATAATCCTTTTTCGACGGGCCCGCAAATATCAAATCTGCACGAGTAGGAAAGCCCACTGCGAATACGAGCCCTTAGCATCGACATTCGACGACTACAACTGCACACACTGACTGTTGAGGCTGCGCCGAGAACTCAGAGCACCTCTCCTTCACCCAGACCACTTGCATCCTCATCCTTAGAACATTGGCACCGGAGATTCCAGTTCCGACCTGGGACTCCGCCCCTTTTTCCTAAAATCCTTGGCACACCCCCTTTTTCTCGCTACTTCCAGACCCACTAGCCACTCAGACCAGGAAGTCGCGCTGGCCCCGCTGGGCGTGAGGTTGGGCGTCACACCGTTGCTATTGTGTTTCGAGAACGCCATTTCGCAGTGTATATCTCATGAGCAGTGGAGAGCATAGTTGTTATTTTCCTTTTCCCTGTGTTCATTGCTGCAGTGGATACCTAATGAATGATGGACAGCAGTGTTGTTGTCTTTTTTTGTTTCCTTGCATTTCAGAACTTTTCTTTTTGTCATCAACCCCTTCTGTAGTGATTTCGTTTTTGTTCCTGGTGTGCATGGTTGTCTTGTCGCCCAACCAACAACGTATTCCAATTTTAGGGGCTCGTTCAACACTCCTTGGGGCGTCCTCGGGGCCGAAGGAAGTTCCCTTGGGGGTTTTCAAGGAAATTCCCGCCATCGTTCCACCTGTCCTCGGGGACTTCGCCCGAGGACATTTCCTTCGAACGATGTCAGACAAGAAAAAAGAAAAGAAAAAAAAAATCAAATGCGTTTGAGGCCTTCAGCCAATAGGGTGCCGCCACGATCCAGATTCTCGGTTGTAACGTCTCTCTACCCATGTGCCCGCTCCTCTCCGTGAAACGAGGATTCCTTTTTCCCAAGGGACCTCGTGAGGTCCCTTGGGCAAAAGGAAGAAATGGCTGGGGAATCCTCGGAGCCCAAGGAGTGTTTTTACTTTTTTTTTCCCGACTGCATTCCCGAGGATAGGTGGAACGAACAATTCCTCGGGGACTTTACGCGCCCGAGGAGTGTCGAACGAGCCCCTTAACCCTTTTTTTTGTTTTGTACTGTTGACAGTGGAATTTGTTTTCATAGCGCTTATTGCTGTCTAGGTGTCCTCCCAGTCGTGGTCTTTGCACATCCACTTGCAAAATTTTGTCCTGCAATTCACATCATAGTGGCATTTGGCCTCAAAAAGAAAAAGGAAAAAAAGAAAAAAAGGAGACTGCAGTTGTCATGTTTGTTATACAGTAGTACACAACTCCACAAAGTAAAAGCATCATGATGACAGTCACTGTCCCAGACTGTTTCGTCGGGGGGTGGGGTGGG